CACCCCCCCCCCCCCCCACACACACACATATATATCTTCTAAACACCGATGCTTAACTTATGTTAAATATTAGTGACATGTCACATTATTTAATTGGTAAATCATTAAATATATGGAACCTACCTTTAACTTATTTACCAATTAAATGGTGTGTCATATCACTGATATTTAAGAGGTCATTTTCGTGTGTGTGTGTGTGTGTATATATATATATTTTTTTTGTGAATTCTATAAAATATATGATTAAAATTAATGTTTGACTTTGAAAAGTAAAATTTAAGAAGAAGAAAATGAATCCCAAACAAAGACTAAAAATTCCAAAAAAAAAATAGAAGGAAAAAAAAAGAAAAAAGAAAAAAATGGACATTCTCTTTTCAAGCCTCCTGTCTCCACATGGGGTATTGATTGCCATAGACCTACACTAGTAGTCTCTCTTTCAAGCCAATTGAAGTGACACGTCCTAAAGATGAGAAAAGTAGTTGCAACATAATACATTTTTCTCTTTTTTATTTTCAATTTCACATTTTTTAATAAAATGATATTACATGTAAAATTCAAAAATTTTCTTATTTTTTAACTGTACATTTACCGTCAAAATACTATTTCAAAATACATTTTAAGGATAAAAGGAGACTCAAACAGGCTCCAAATTTATCAAGAATGCGTTCAAATCCCTTTTTCTTTTTCTTTTTTTCTTCTTTTTTTTGGAAAAAATAACAATTGCTTTGGTGTAACCTGTAGTTTTCTGGTACAGGCAATAGAACTTTGAGATGTTGTACTGCTGCCTACCTGTACGACTTGAAACTGTATTTGGCACATTTTGCAAGGTAAAATGTAAAAAGGATAATTAAGCCATTCTTTTAAAACAAGAAGGACAGATGTGGACATTCCAAAAGATAGGAGGAAATACACAAAAATGACCCTTACACTGTAGCAAAAATTGACATTGGCCTTTGACCAATTAAATGAATTAAAAAAAAAACAAATTAAGTTAAAAAGAAAACTTCACAGTATTTTCCCATTTTACCCTTCAGACTGTTTGATAATTCTCTCACCGACCGAACCGACCGACAGACCGACCAGTGGAGAAATCCGACCGACCGACCACCGGAGTTACACCAACGTCGCAATCAACGATCATCATCTACAGTGGAAGTAAAAGAACCGGTTAGTTTTCTGATCAAAACTCCAGTTCGAATGCTTTTTTTCATAGTTAGCATCCTTAGTAATTTTGGTTGAAATTAGATCCATGGGCATGAGTAGCTAGATTGTGGGCATGCTGGAACGTGAAAAATGAGATTTTTTGCCATTTTTTGGAGCTCAGTGGCCGGGAATGACAGTTTCCGGCCGTTTCCCAACCACCGGGCCATTGAACGGCCAAAAACCGACTGTAACAGTCGGGTTACCGACTGTTACACTGTCTGGGCCGACACAGTCGGGTATCTGGGCCGGATCACCGGCCCAGATAATATTTAAATTTTAATTTTTTTTATAATTTTTGTAATTAATTAAATTTTTTATTTGATTAAATAGTAATTATATTATTTAATTTTTTTTATCATTGTCAATATAATATAATAATTGAAATATTGTAAAATTAACAATGTTGATTATTTTTTTTATGAAATTATCTTTAATTTATTTTTTCAAAATTATTTATTTATTTTTTAAAATTATTTTTATGAAATTATCTTTAATTTTTTATTTCAAATTTATTTAATTTTTATATTTGTCTTTTATATAATTTAATAATTCAAATATTGTAAATTTAGCAATGTTGATTCTATTTTTTTTATGAGATTATATTTAATTTATTTTTTTAAATTTATTTAAATAATATGAATAGTCTAAATTTTAGAAAAAGGTAAAGTAATTATTTATTTAATTTTTATATTTGTCTTTTATATAATTTAATAATTCAAACATTCTAAAATTAACAATTTTGTGTTGTTCCTTTTTTTTTTTTTATGAAAGAATCTTTAATTTATTTTTTCAAATTTATTTAAATAATATAAATAGTCTTTACATTTTTCGAAAATGTATTTAATTTGAAATTTTTGTTTGTAAATATATTTTCCAAATAA